CCCCAAAACCCCAAAACCCCAAAACCCCAAAACCCCACCTCGATATAATTGACAAAATTAACTTTGTTTAATTAATAATTGAGTTAATTACTTCAATGTCTGGTAAATTAATTAAATATTCTTAAGATGTTATAGATCATTAATCAATTAAAATTAGCCCTTCAAATATATTCTGACAAGACTTTATGCATAATGTTTTTATTTAATCTCATGAATTCCTTTGGATAGTTCTTCTACTTATCCCTATCCGTTTGATATTTAAGTGGTTATTTTATTCTCTGCCACTCTGTAAACTCAAATATTGCTAATAAGAGTTCAGGAGTCATATTCTAAATTTTCTCTTCTGCTAATAAGTTCTTAGTTTTGAGTCTTAACTTTGCGCCTTTGTTCAGTAGTAATGTCACCATGTTCGGCTTATTCCTCATTATTGCTACTTATAAAGGGGTGAGATCTGTTGTCGTAACATGCTCAATGTTTGCTTTAGCTGAGATGAGATATTATGCAATATCTAGTCTATTGAAATAACATGCTCTGATAAGAGGGGTTTCTCCATTATTTGATCTCTCATTTACATTTGCTCCCTCCTCAACTAAGTACTTTATAATATCTAAATGTCCCTCTGAAGCAGCAAACATCAACATATTATAGCCTCCAAATGGCTTCATTTCAAAAAACTATTCCTTGGGAAACTTTCTCCTTATTTTTTTAATCTCATCTAAGTTTCCATCTTTGATAAACCTAAACAATTTGTTTGTTTAAGTGTTGTCTTTTAAAAATGTAATCCTGAATCCAAACCGTCGTACTTAATTTGCTAGGTGTAATAATATCGCTCCCACAATCATTCCAACAAAAATATCGTTCAGTTATGATCTATAATAGTGAAGTAGAAGGAGAGGACCGATAAGACCACAATTTCTGGTATTCATTTACATATTTGTTTTACTCTATTTAAAAATGACTAGGAAAATTTATCTTTTAAATTATTAATCAGGCAGACTACTTTCTATTTTAATTTATTACTTCTTACTTTTATAATGATTTTGCTATTATGGGGTTTTGGGGTTTTGGGG